AGATTTCCCACTGGGGTCAGTTTCATAGTCATGGTAGTTCCATTTCTTTGATTTTATTTTTTTTGCTCAGGCTACTCATAAACTCACAGCTCGCCAAATGTTGAAAGGGCAATATTATTGCCATTACTGTTAATATAGAGTAGAAATTTTACACATTCAGTAATTAAATGTCAAAGGGGATGGTATGGGGGATGGTCATTTAAGAAGGGGGATGATTTTTAAGATTTTTTTAAGAAGGGGGATGCCATCCCCCCTCATCTCCCTTCAACTCGAGTAATGCCTGCCCCCCATTTGACAGGCAAGTGCTAGAAAATGCTTGGATGGAGTATTTTCATTCCACTCTGAAAGAGGAAAGACAAAATTAAGCCCCAAATGAATATGAGAAACTTTACCTTTCAGCAGCCGATATACAACGACAGTACATTATTTCATTTGTTTATTTTTTAACTCTTTACTAGTATGTTATTCTGATACACTTTTCTACACAGTAAATTCCACAGTGTTAAATATGCAGTGTCATTTTAGAGTTATCACAACAACAACTGGAGTAAAATATACACTACGTAGAGTTCTAATTTAACACTAATTCTGAGTGGGACCAAATGTACTGTTAAAGTATTACTTGAACACTTCATTTACTTTGTAAGGTCCACATTTGTGTGACCATTTTTTTTATATCTTTTTGCTGGTTTAAACACTAGAATTTTCCCATTGCGGGACAATAAAGGGATTTTCTATTCTATTCTAAAGTCTGTAGACAAACATGTTTGTAATTCTTCTGTTTGCAAGAAAAGCCCATGTACATTGGTGGCCTTTAAATGTAAATGTGTTTGTAATCATCCAAAACTAAAAAGTAAATGAATGTCTTTATCTCTAACAATTTTACTTTTAGGAACAATTTTTGCTCTCATTTATTAGGTGATAGCACTGAGGCAGACAATACAAAGTAGTAATAGTATAACAGATAACATTTATAAGAAATCCTAATTAAAGCAAAAAATATAATTTAATTGCAAGAAATATTATAGCTCTAATAACGCAAAACAGGTGCAGGAAAAAACCCTGATAAAGATAAAAGGGGTTACCATTTTAAACAACCTAAGCACAAATTTATTTGTAATAAACCAAGACTTTCTCTTATGACGCTGATATAAATAATGGAAATATTGTGAGTTTTTTGTGAGGTCTCTTTTATGACGAAAAGGAATTAAAGATCTAGATCTAGGAATTGTAGGTTTTAATTGCTGCTGGAATATTCAGTGTTCTGATGGATAATATCCTAAAAAGAAAAGCACAGTGGATATATTTTCAGATACAGGATCTGTGCTTAAATTCTCTAAAGGTGTCCTGAGGTAAACTCGGGAAACTCGGGAAAGCAGAACTGGGTTGATGGGGAAATTAGTTTAGTTAACATAGTATAAAACAGAGTCTCTTTGGCTCCAACTGAAAAATTATGATTTAGTATTATTAATCCAAATTTAAAAAGTGTGACATGCCTTAAGCGGAAAATAATATTCCAGAGCATGTGCGCATATGTGACAAAGTGGTCATATTTGTAGTTTGACAGCCCTTTTCTCACAGAAGTAAAGAACCCTGGAATATAATCTGTCCCTCGTCACTTGCCCTTGTAGTGATCTGATGTGACTGAGTTGAATTCAGAGGGTAGGCTGATATCCAAGAGCCCGGCAGAGACAGGCCATAACTGATGTCTCTGAATCATTGGGTCAGTGGGTCACAGGCATCACTGGACATCCACAGATCTGACGACTTGCTGCACCTCTGGAAGCTGCAGAGGATTTGCTCTGAAATGCCAATTGCAGCTGCATGAAACGCGACAGGCTTGGCAGCACAAGTGCAAACAGAGAGACCCGTGGATGGAGCCCCTCTGAGAGTTGCATGCACGCAGAGAACAGACCCTCTGATACAGAGGAGCACCTAGAGACTGAGGCTGTGTTTAAACTCCACTAGGAGCACAGGCTCTCTAATTAAAGCAATGTTTTAATTAGGATTTGGACACCCGAATGAGAAGGGATAATAACATTCATTTATCTAGCAGAGAGCGTGGATTTCAAATGAGTCTCATCTACGACTAAGTGATTCATTCAAGAATAATCTATAAATAAATTCTGTAGTCGATTATGAAAAAAAAACAATCTCAAAAAGCAACAATAGAAACAATATTTGTTAATGAATACAGCCCCAAAATTTCTGGGTTTAGCAGTTTTGCTCATGTTTATGGTAAATCAGTCATGATTTCAAAAATGAAGCTGAATAAGTTAGAACATCTGTTCAGGAGTGGAGCAAATTAATGTCACATTAAACTATTTTAATATTGATGTATAGTTTGTCTCATTCAGAACAGTTATCTATCAAAAAGCGTTCATTGGTTAATTATTTTTTTTTATTTCCATTAAATTAACATCATCACACATTTAATGAAGTGAGGAGATTGTGCATTAGGTCTGCACACTAACAGGATCACCTATAATATGCAGAAGTGCTGGTGAATCTAACAACAGTGATAAACAGGGTTTCTATGCAGTCTTGCAAGGTTTAATAATGTATGCAGTTTTCTTTAAACCATTTAAGGATATTATTTAAAGATTTTTTTTTTTTCTAAATAATAAAACATGTTTAATAAATGTGGTGTTGTTTTATATTTATATATATATATACCGGTATATATATAATATATTTATATATATTAATATAATAGTTCAAACTATGTCTCAACTCAACTCAACTCAACTCAACTCAAACTTTATTTATAAAGCACATTTAAAACAACCGGGGTTGACCAAAGAGGTGTACAGATATCACAGTTGCAGAAAACCAGGTAAAAACTTAAAATCTAAAATAAATAAACACAATTGAATAAAATATATAGAAATAGAATAGAATGAAATAAGTTAAAATAGAAAAAATAAAAATTTTGGGTTTATAGATTTTAAAATTCAAGTTGAAATGAAAATATGGACCAAAAATAAGGTTTGCTCAAAATGTTAAACCTTGCAAAAGCATTTTCTATTTTTAATTTTTTGCAAACTAAAAGTATGTTTGCTTTAAAAAAAAAAAAAAAAAAAAAAAAAAAACTGCTATAGATGACCTGTCCAGAGTTTACTGCACCTCGCCCCTTTACTACAGAAGATACGCAGTAGGCTACACTTGCTCTAACTATGATTCAGTTTGTCTATAAAAGCAAGTGATAATGGCCTCTCCATGTGCCTTTTATGTTGTACGGAGGGTCTGACTTTAAATTTTAACTTGGTCACAAGTTAGAAGACATTTACTGAGGGATGCTAAATAGGTCCAACACAGTTTTAGAGAAATTTAAAGGAGCTTAATTCCAAGATATAAAGGCATTTTTAATGTAACAGCATTTACCATAACCCGGTTTACTAAATTTTAGCTAAATTTAAACTATAATTTAAAGTGCTGTGAAGAATTAAAAGGGACCTGGGTAAAAAAAGAATAATTTCTTAATTATAAGAATTTGATTTATGAGTGGCTCACTTATTACCAGCAGAGTTAAAAAACAGAGTTTAAGAGGGCATTAATAAATTGATGACTGTAGGGAGAGACTCTATTACCAGTCCAAACATGTGTTAAAACTGATGAAAACCATAATTCAGTTTGATACTTTCGATGCATTTTATTTATTTATTTTCTAACAAAATGATGTAATGTAATAAGTTTTCTAAAGGGATTTTAAACTATTTAGGGAAATAAAACTGCCTTTAGCAAATTAATTTTATTAAATGCTACCAGCCTATGATTATAAAAATTCTATGAATCATATTGTGTGTAATCAGTTATGGTTAAGTGGTCCATCTCATGAACCATGTACTTAGAGATATATTAAATTAATGACAGTATAGTTAAAAGTGAGCCCTTTCCCAGATTTATTGAATGGAAAACCTTTCATCCACTTTACAACTGGCTTTTAAATAATTTACAAACTGTTAGCAGCAACAGCTTCATTAAAAACAAGACGGTTAATCATTTAAGTTCTGTAAATGGTACCTTAACTTGGAGAACCAATCCTTGGCCTGTGGTTTAATTGTCCCTCACTTGTGCAACTCCTACCACAGTTAACAGATTTTTGTTTTTATCAGATGTATTAGCACTTTTTCTAGGAATCTTTACAGCATTAACTCGGTTTACCTGGTAAGTACCTCATAGGTCCTATTGGGCTGCATCTAACCTATAAGTTACCTTTTGGGGAGTGGTGGCCAATGTTTACGGCATAGAACTTGGAATCCTGGAGTTCTGAGTTCGAGCCCCACTCCCACAGACTGCCACTCTGGGTCTCTGAGCATAGACCTTTAACCCCACGCTGCTCCCCGGGGTGCCCCACTATGGCAGCCCACTGCTCCCTAAGGGGATGGGTTCAATGCAGAGCTACATTTCTCCAATGTGAGATCAATAAAGTTCAATTATCATTAAGTATATAAATGCATGTTTTGAATGCGATGAGGGAAGCTCTATAAATGTATTTGATCAAGTCCAGTCATTTACTCATTCAAATATACATTCACACATTGATGCAGGTAGGCCATATTGTAACTACAGCTGCTCTGGGGCAGACTCATTGGAACCACATGGCCCTCTGATCACTGACACCAGGCAAAGTAGCTAAAGTGTCTTGCCCAAGGACTCACTGACTGAGAAAGACAAAGCAGGAACTCAAACCAGCAACCTGTTGGTTACCCCTGAGCCACTGCTGCCCCAAATAACAATCCTTGTAAGCACCTGGAAAATATCAGGTTGTGTTTATCTGGAACATGTATGGATTTTTATCTGTTATTCAAGCAATGTGAAAAGTATTATTTCAACATGAGTGTCTTTATTTTTTCTATGGTAATATGGGAATTGTGTGCACTGATGTGTTTTGTTTGTAAAAAATTATATAACGGTCAAATAAAATAAAAAACTAAGATAAAAAACTTACAAATAATTCTTTCTTCTTTTTTGTCTCCCTTTCTGTATTGGGCTCACAGCAGCGGATGGCGTGCCAGTCCAAAAGGATGGGGAGCAAGTAAGTCTTCAGCTGTCCTTCTCATTCAGTCGCCTTGTTGACTCCTTCCCTGGGGGATTGTTGCTGCTCCACCTGAGGAACCAACGCGGCCTTAAAGAGTTTGATTAGCCTCTACGTGATGATTACTCCACCGGCTCTGTGTAGCTCACTGTGCTCATATACTGTTAGTTTTAGACATATCAGTCATGCTATTCACACTTCTCTTGGCTATTTGGGATGGGATGTTGTATATTAACGAACCAACAGCTATTGGTTTGTTAAGATGTGTGATGCTTGCCATCCAATTTGCAAAAGAAAAAAAAAAAAGGGTTTTAAATAATAACAGCAAAGGCATCCCTCCCCATGTCTCCCCAACTTTTACACATCCCTATTGTTTTGTATCCTTTCTCTCCTCTTTCCTCCAACACCTAACCCATGCTAGAGGACACCATTTTGGACTGAAGTGAGGTGCTTCCTACTTTTCTACCAAAAGCGCTGAGGACTGATGCATCATTTATTTACTTGTTATGTCCCAGATTGGCCTTTGGAAAGACAAAAAAATGCAACGTGCACACATACATTTATATACGTGTTGACTGAATATTCAGCATTGGTAAAGCTGCTTCAAGGGGCTTAGCTCTACCACTCCAGTGTGCTGAATCTCTCATCACTTATCCAGAGAAAGAGGGAGAAGAGAATGAAAGGAAGCAGAAGACAAATTGTTGGGATAGTCAGCACATATGCTTGATGGATCTAGCTGTGGTTGGGGAACAGACTGACAAAAAATGTTAGGGTTTGTTAAAAAAGGTCGATTACTTTAGCTTTTATACATTCAGCTCAGCTAGAGCGGCTTGCACGTGTCCATACCACTGGAGCTTTTCCACATGTTGTCATTAAAACGGCAATATCCTCTATTTTAGTGTGTCAACATATATACTAAAACCAAGTAGTTTTTAAGAACATTTTATTTTTTTGTAAAGTAGAATCTGAAAAGTGTGGCTATTTGTGTAAAATAGCTTAAAGTCAGTCAGAATAGGAGAGCGTCTAAAAATAGACAATCATCAGGTCTTACCGCAGATTCTCATTGTAATTTCGGGCTGTGCTTAGTCAAGTGCAAATATCTGAGCCATTCTAACAGATGGATATGCTTCAATCTAAGCCATTCTTTTGAATGCAGAGTCGGTTGTATATTCTGGGTTGTTGTCTTGCTGGAGGATGAACCTCCATCAAGTCTATTTTCCAGGATTGCCCTGTATATATTTCCATTTATATTGCTTTTAAATCTGACCAACTTCCCAGACCAGAGAAGCATCCCCTTAGCGTGACGCTAACACTGTTTCACTGTCAGGGGGGTATACTCATGCTGACGTACACAGTCTTTGCTTCTTTCCACATATAATTTTTGGCATTTTGGTTAAATCTTACTTGTGAAAAACTTGCTTTAACCCTCCTTCCAAATTTCATCCTTTAACCATTTGGCATATTGTTATTGGTTTAATACAGTTTCTTCACTCAATGTTTTGTCATAGACCTCTGAGTCCTTCACAATACATTTGCATTTATCATGAGATCAAATTGCATTTTTTTTTTACTTCTGAAGGAAGTTGATTATACTGTTGTTTAGGAGTTTCAAAGCCGTTTCAATGTAAATGGGCAACACACAAAAATAAATTATATGAAAATATTGATAATTTTCTTCCATTTCAAAATTATGCACTACAAACACATCAAATATTCACACTTTTCTTAATAACCTTGTGCTGAAAGGTTTCTAACATTGCTCCATAAACAGCTCTCAATATTTATTCCTTTATGCCTTTCAGGAGTTCGATTTAGCAAGAATATATACCAGCCTAATTTTGAGTCCATATGTTGAGGTTTTACCTTTCTGGAATTTAGACTCTGACACCTACAGAAACATTCCTCGGTTTTCTTTTTGGTTTCATTCAGGTAGGACAACTTTCCTGAAATGAAACAGAGTTTATAAAGACAGCACAGATTCCATTTTAGTTTTTCCCTCCTCAGTGTTCTGCTCAGTGTCCAGGCTAAATATAATTACTGGCACAGAATGATAATCACTACAATGTAATTATCGCTGAGGATTTTGCACCTTCAAATAATGTGAGCAACATGCTCACTACAAGTGGTTTTCCAGTTCTGTGATTGGTGAATGTTTTAATAAGATCAAAAAAAGACAAACGTTTATTTTTTTTTGCTTATTGGCTTATTTAAAAAAATAAATAAATACTCCATGGCCCTTATTAAGCTCCATATAAGTCAGTGTCCTCACAGCTTCTGCATTTTCCCCTTTGATTAACATGCTCATTTCTTCTGTTTGCACAGATTCACTTGCTCAATTACATTCATACCTTTGTAGTTCCACAGTGTAACCAGTCATTTGATAACATTTGCATGTGAAGTCTGACTCAATTTCAATTAAATTCAGTTTATTCATATAGCACCAATTCACAACACGTATCATGTCAAGGCACAAGTCAAATTGATTCAAAGTTTTCTATCTAAGGAAAACCAGCTGATTGCATCAACTCATTGACTCAAATGCAATCCCTCACACTAAGCATGCTTGTAGCAACAGTGGAGAGGAAAAAACCCTTTTAACAGGAAGAAACCTCCAGCAGAACCAGGCTCAGTGTGAGCGGCCATCTGCCGAGGCCGACTGGGGTTCAAGGAGACAGAAGCAGAGATACAAAAAGCAGCTGTAAAAGCGGCCCCGTCCAGGAAACACACAGCCAGGCAGACAAGCTCCGAGCCAGCTCCCATGCCAGAGGATGAAGAGAGCATATCCAGCCAGTCACAGTCAGAGAAACAGGACTACACTGGAAAACAGGCCGATCTCCAACATCTATAAACAAGGGTGTTGATAGTAGCAGCACAGCTGATATTTCTCTCCACCTCTCATCCTTTGGAAGTTTTTTTAATTGGGGCATATAAGCAGCAGATCAGGGTGGTATTAAAAGGGTTAACATGATCTCCTTACATTTAGATTTAATTGCTGTAAATAGATTTTGATTGCCTTTAGGCATGTGCTAAGTTGGTCCCCACATATGTTGTGGGCATCCCCTGCTTCCCACTGGCAACAGGGAGACAAGTTGGCTTGCTTTTTGCAGACACATTTTTATCTCTCCCTGAAAATGTCTTTCCTGCATTTTAATTGGCTGGAAGGTGGCCCTATGGGGGCTTTCTAAGGTGCCATTTATGTGAAACCTTCTACTCAACCTACTAGCTGTAATATTGTAAACTTGGCTGTATATTCCAAGCTACAGAACCTCTCTTTTTAAAGTGATTATATTTTACCTGTGCAACAGACTTTTGAAATATGAATGCACAACAACGGCAGCAGTTACCCCACCCTCTGCACTGCACCGAAGGAAAGACTGGTAACCTTTCTGTTGATCCTGCAATTCTTCAGTGTGGCACAGAACTCAATGTAAATTAATTCTGCCACGTGAGACTTCTTCTATTATTCTGTGTTGCTGTAAATATCCCATTGTGGTGGGATCTCCCAGAAAGTAAAGGACAGTTTCAGGTTTTTATTCTGAGTTGGGGAAAGTAATTTATTTGAAATATTTCTAAGTTTTTAGGCAGTGCAAATCAGTCTCACTTTTAAGGAACAATGCATCTGGCTTGGAGCTATGGTTATTTAGAAAATACTTCAGAGTGAGAGAGCTGTTATCTCAGCTGCTTTAAAAACACAGTTTTTATGAATAAAATCATGGAAAATTCTACTTAGGATTACTCGGCAATTCACATTGACAAAGCAAAAGCAAAACAACTATTTGATTTAGACTTAGACCACTTTTCTTGACATTTCCATTTCTTTAACAGAAGCAGTGAACAAGTGTAAACATTTGGTCAATTTGTTAGGTTGAAACATAATTCTTTGGATGTCAGGTTCAATGATTATTCAATAGACACAAAGGCAAAGGTTTTAATGCTGAGCTAATCTTTTGTATTTTGCCTCAGATGAGGCACACATGAAAGTTATGTTAAGCATGTTGTGCAATTTACAGAACAGGAGTTGCACAGAACAAGAAAAGATGTGTACACCTAAAGAAATAACTGCTAAATGGAGATAATTGAGTCATATTGTTACAAAACAGATAAAGAACCACTTATGGTTGTTGGTAAATTCTCTCCAACTCTTATATGCTGTAAATAAAAGAAAAGCGTGTTTATGATGGACTGCTTGAGAAAGCTACCAAAGTAATATAATTCAGTTTGCTGTTGTGATGAAACAACACCGATTTATCCCTGTAGATTTTTTCAGCTTGGAAGATTCATATAGGTTAGTGTCCTGTTCCTCTTAAATTCTTTATGATATATTATTACAATATTGCATATTATGGTTATTAAATAAAATCTTTAACTGAGCAGAAAAACAAATGAACAACCAGCAACATTCAAAAGAAAATATTTAAATTGCTTTCAGTAAGATTTAAAATAACAGACACCCTGTTACCCTACATATAAAATGTGAATAGTGTGTTTTGTGGTTTGTATTTGGACTCCAGGGAAGATACTTCATAGAAGCTCCTTTAGCTACAAGTCTTTACCAGCTTTTCACCTATAAAGTCTGATATATGGAGAGCATCTGTGAATATCAATGTATGAAGTCATAAACTAATCAATGACTGGCCACTCTAACACATAATTATACTTTGATCCAGGTTATTTCATTCTAGTCCAGGTAGGAATCTTTGGGTTGTGCTGGAAGTTGAACATCTATCCTCAACAGTTTCTTCTTCCAGGATTACATTTGTTCCCTCTTACATTCTTCCTATTCATTCCAAACCAGTTCCTGCTGAAGAAAGCCTCCCCCACAGCATGATGCTCCCACTTCCATGATTCACTGTGCAGATAATGATCTGGTGCAGTGTTACTTTTGGTCTATGTACTTTTTCCTAATGCCTGTATATTAAGTTTAGCCTCATCAGACCTGAGCACAAGAGAACTGCTTTCATTTAATACTGAATAATACATCGCCTGATGGCTGGTTCTCACACCTGAGCTGTAGATCTCCATTGCTCCCCCAGATTTACTTAGACTAGGGGTGCTCAAGTCCAGTCCTCAAGAGCTACCATCCTGTAACTTTTAGATGCATCTCTTCTCTAACACACCTGAATCTAAGGCCTCAATCCCTCATTTAGCTCAACAGGGGCGTGGTAACGAGCCACTCATTTGATTCAGGTGTGTTAAAAATGGTTGCATCAAAAAGTTGCAGGATAGTAGCCATTGAGGACTGGACTTGAGCACCCCTGACTTAGACCTTTGATGAATGTTCTCCTTTCATGGCCATGTTTTAGTCGGTTTAGGTCTATTTTTCAATTGAATATTGAACTGAATATTGATATGTGAGATGCTCAAGGTTTACAAGATATTTTCTTAGGACTGCTGCTGTCCTTGGTTTTCATTTGTGGTTTCTAAAACATCCTTGAATCCTTCACAGAACATCTGTTTTTATACTGAGAATAAATTACAAGCTTTTCACAGATGAGGCATTGGATGAGTTAAGTGGTAAACGAATAGAGGGAAATGAAAACAAATGCATGCTTCATCTAAGTAAAGCACCATTCTGTATTAATCTATCACACATGTGTCAAACTCAGAAAATCTGACCCATCTCTGCAATTTATCAGGCCTAAAAGAGTCAATGAAGACGTTTTGTGTCATAAAGTAGAGGCATGTTCTTTTAAACTGTAGAAAGTAGCTAAAACTGCAAAATAAATGGGAGTAAAGTTATAACAGCAGAGCAGAGTAAAGAGAATGATGAAATCAAAAGTTTCATTTGACCAGCTGCAGACGGACATTTTGAAGACTTGTTGCTAAAGTGGCTCCAATATAAATCGTTTGACACCACTTCATCTATCACATGAAGTTTTTTTATAAAATATATATTTCCATTTCTGGTTCAAGAGTTGCTCATTTTGCAAGGCAACATATTTCCAGAATTGAAACAGTATCTGAAAAGCACAGCAGTTTACAGCAGTGGGGTCCAAATATGTAGAACGACTGGCTTTAATCCATGTTCAGCAGTTCTGGAGCAAATATCTCATCCATATGAAAATGCAGTTCAAGAGCAAATCTGTGTTACAGTTGTGTTATTACTGCTGCACTGTGTGTGTGTCAGCGCACGTCGACAGTACGGGGAAAATGTTTCAGCTGTAAGGCCACAGGTCCCCCAGACTCAGCTGATAGAGGGAAATAGTGTAGCAGAAACTGCTGCTTATCTGCTTTGTCCTCATCAGCTGAGTCCGTCTCCTCTCTGCACAAACAAATGTGCACACAAACACACACACTCACACCCTTGTTTTTTTCTGCATTCTGTAGTGAGGACCATGTGTTGACTTCCATTGATTTTCAGTCATTTTCAACCCTTTCTAAGTCCTAACCCTAAAACTAACCCTAAAACTAACCATTACTAAATGCATACCTCACCCTAACACCTAACCCAATTGACGCTTTAGTCCTAAACCTAATCAAGCAAAATCCCTTTTCAGGACCAGAAAAATATCCTCACTTTAAAAAAACTGGTCCTCATTGTTATGGTGAAATTGTAAAAATCGTCGTCACTGTGCCTAGACAGATACACATACACACACATGATTTGCATCAACAGATACAGATAAGCACATCACTGACATCTCTCTCAAACACTCACACATAATAGTCTGCTGGCTTTTGGTTTTGGCAGCACATGTAGTGGAAATGGAAGCTCATTTAACCGTTGCGTATTCCCTCTGCTAAACATAACGAAGCAAATAAGAACTGATCCCTTTTTAATCCCCCCCTTTCTCCCTGTCATGGTGGTTCTCTGAAACTCACATGAATCCGTCTCTCCTTTCTTTTTCTGCTCACCTCCTTTAATTTTGTTCTTTTCATCCGCACATCTATTTTTTTTTAACCAACTCGGTGTCTTGCTCCTCCTCAACGCATGTCGATGTTCTGTCACTCTCTCTTACTCTTTGCTGCTCCCTCTTTCCCCCATCCCTCCCTCCTCCCGTTTCTCTTCAGCATGGACGTTCAGAGTTTTCATGGGAAGGAATCAATGTAAGTGTTGTGGCCTCGCTCCTCCATCTATGGCTTCTCTTTCTGTTTGATTTTCATTTAGATCACCCTGTAGCTACAAGTTCTGTCCCTCATGACCCCCTCTCACCTCCTCAGCTTTATAATAGAACCTATGCTTTGCCGTAGTGGTGCACAGTAGTGAGCACAATCAGTTTTTTTAGTTTACTTGGACTGAAGATTTGGGTAATACAGATTTTGTCCTTTGTATTAACCCAACATCTCCATCACCTCTCCTCACCACTCACCTCTCTCTTTATGATACACACCGTGTCGTTGTTTGTCTCTCCCTTCACACCATCCACACTCTCTTTTTGTTCCCCCTTCTTCCTCTTCCATTCCTCTTTCTTCTCTCCCTCCAGCTGTCCATGGAGGACACCACATCAATCCTGCCTCGGCTCAAGAGGAACTCAAATGCCTATGGCATCGGGGCTTTGGCTAAGTCTTCTCTGTCAGGTGTGTCAGGTGTGTGTCTGTGCTGGTTCTGGTAAACGTCCCCATGTTGGCCCCGGCCCCTCAGTGGGCTCAGGGGTTAGCATGGTACCCTTAAATGGGTTCCCCTTATATCACTTCCTCTTCACACTGACACATCTGTCGTCAATGACTCCTAGAAAGGCATTGATGAGTAAATCCAGCATTAAACACACAACCTGGACACGCATTTTATCATCATGCACTTTAATACACTAAGGTAAGATTATCCGGATTTGAGAAGCTTGTAGCAGATTTAATTTTACATTGTAAACATGACAATAAATGACAATAATGCCATCAGTCGCTGATAAAAGTGTCAGGATGATCATAAACTTTATATATACTGTATATATCAATTACATGTAATACTTATATTCATACTTGCTGTCACTAAAGTCTATTTCCTTATAAATAGTTTGACTAAAAATGCAAAAACAATATAGCAATCATATTAACACAGATTCTACATTTATAATAACAGCCTAGAGGGTGGAGTTTAATGGATAAGAAGCATTTAAAATACACTCCTGAACTAAACTCTAAGACCAAGGAGCAAATAGTTTAGCTTTAAAATGCAAAAGGAACAAAATGGCATCATAAAATGAGAGAAAAATGAATTTGAGTCGAACAGGCTTTTGGTCAGCTGAGACGACAACCTTAAAACTGCTTTAATGGCAAATATAAAAAGGCTTTTTGAGCCAACAATTAAAGTTTGTGGAGGATAGCTGGATTATAGCAGATTTTGATGGTAGATATAAAAAAATTAATCTGCTCTGAACCAGAGGATCTGTTGGGGTGTCAGTGAAGATGCTAATAGATTTTCTGCCCAGATTAAATTTCCTTATTGATGCTCAATAACATCAAGACCTGTGGATCAGTAAGGGCAAGACTGGAAGAATAAAGCATTGGTTTTCAAAGGACACACGTCCTCCTAAGCCAAACACTTGTATCTTCTTACTTTGCAAGGCAACTACAAACGTGGGACAAACAAAACAGCCTTTTCTCTTTGCCTTCCTGCATTATTGGAACAGAATAAATAGAAAACTTCTCTAGCTCTGTTGCAGAGATAATACCTCCTGACTGAGGGTTCTTATCTAAAACTGGGGCTTTAAAAAGAATATTCCTCCAGTTTGCAATGCCAGTCTGTAGAATTACGTCCCTAACTGGGACCATCCAGCATGTCCCACTGATCCAAATCCCTCCGAAAGGTTTTGGAGTGGACAGAAAAAGAGGCTCAGAATAACAGAGATAAAACGTTGTTAAACTACTTTTTGGGTAAAAGTCATAAATGTTGAAACAAGATAGGATGTTTAAATACTATTCTTAATACATTTTTTTATCCCCCCCCCCCACCCTTTGTTTTTTCAAGCTAAACACACAACCTGGTTAAGCTCCAGCAGCGTGAATTGCAGATACCTGTTTCCCAGTCTAAAGATGTTGATTAGAAAAACTATGATTTATTTACCCTTTTTGTAGTCAGTAAAGTAACTTTTCTTGATCTCTTTCTGGAGTTTAAAGAAAAAAAAAATTAATCACTGTAGATGAATGGCACAGAAATGATCTGTCATTCTGGCCGGCCACACATGTCCTTAATTTTGTAAACTTCTGCATAGGAAATAAACATAGTTTGCTAAAAGAAAATATCAATACGGCTAAAACCTAAAACATGATTTGTTTTTTACAAGTATTGTTAATAAAATCAAGGAGAGAATATTTAGTACAAAAGGATAGATACTTTAAAAACATGCAACAAACTTAATTAGGAATGTGCTTCATTTATATAAAAACATCCTTATTCTACTACCTATTACTGCATACTGTCACATTGTACTAGATTATAATTTACTGCCTAAGAACTTCAGTACATTTATTGTGCCTAAAACCATTTTTTGTCAGAATCCTCTTGAGAGATTTGGTGACAGTATGCCCAAGCGTTTACTTGGTCAGAAACCAGACTTCTGTTCATTTACAGAATGGATCAGATCACTCTCTGAGTGGTTCTCAAATACCTTAGTCTGCCCTGCATGACAGCGAAATCTCTGCTCAAACAGAAGTTGTATTGGCCTGAAAATCAGCCGATTGAAGACTTTCAGATCTGCTTAACTTGTTGAAAGTCACTGAGTGATTCTGAGCATATCAGAGGTTTCGAGGCAAACACAATTAAGTAGAAATGTATCCAAAGGTTAGGAAAAGTTAAATAGAATTAACAATTAAATAGAAACAGAGACATATAACTTAATTAAATCTAAGGGCTGTTGACCATAAGCAAAGAAAAGTGGAATCTTTTTTTAATCATAATTTTTAAACAGAGAGAATCCAAGAATGTCAGAAGATTTTTCTGTGTCTATTAAATACAATTTCTTCCTTAAAACTTTTAATGCATTAAAAGCCCAGCTTACATTTTGTTAATTTAGTACTTTAAATGCTGTAGGACCTTGTAAACTAGGCTCTTTAACCAAGTCAAATATGTATGCTTTAAAAAGTGATTTTAAATTTTTAGAGCACTAATTAAGACCATTTAGTAAACAGCAATGTATTGACACACATTCAGATGAGACCTTAGAAGTCCTTTAGAAAGCACTTAAATGTTTTAGGGCTTCATGGTCTCTAAATTGTGTTTTTCCTTGCAAAGTGATTGTGGTGTTCTAGTCAAGGTGATCTCTGGATGTTTTCCCTGTGTAAAGTGCTGTGCTAAAGCAGTTCTTTTTTTATTGCAGTCTTTTTGATTTTCCACCGCTGTCTTTGTGTAGTCCATTTGAGAGTTACAGTTCAGTGTAGTGGAGTGCAGCTGTTGTATCATGTGTTGTGGTGGTGATTTGTTCAATAATTTATCCACAAAGCCCCCCATCCCTACCCCACCCTTGCACTAGCATCAGAGGGAGTTTCAGTTTATGTCGTCATATGTTGGTCAAATAAAATGTGGAGCAAAGCGAGTGGAAGCTGGTAGGAGCATGGCAGCAAAAACTAACTTCTTCTTTAATGGAGAAAAACATGTTAAGCAGAGAGTTCTCATATAAACAGCAAGGAGAAAAGGGAGCAGTTTTCTTCTTGCCCAATGCAGCGTAGCAGAGGTGTGTGTCAACAAGCCAAACTCTCATCATTCACGCCACGCAGCCACCTCACCCCAATTAACCCGCTCTTTCCCGTGATGCACTTGTGTCAGGGAAGTGCCTAGTCTCCTCCATGCACCATGACCAGGTGAAGTCTCATTAAACAGGGAGCCGTCGCCTCCACAGTGACCAATATCCATGATCACCCTCATATATCCACACAGATTTGATCACCAGGATTGGACTGATTTCTTATTTTTTTATTCTGTTCTAGCTCAGCTTAGTTTGCCAGCTTTTGTTTTTTACATATACCATATATTTATTTTCATGCCTTAATGTGTTCAGTGGTTTAGAATTCTGCAGTGCTATGACCAAGCTATAATTACTAAAACCACAAAGTAATTAGTGAGAGCATGTAAGGTGATAGTTTCTTAAGTATTTTTCCTGACTTTCTAAAAATTTTTTTAGATGTTGAATGCTTTTGCACCCATTTCCCATCCAGTTCATAATTCTGATCCAGAAAAAAAAAGAAAACTATTAATTTCTGTAAAAACCTAGGGAAAACCACAAACAAAAAAAGCACTATTACCAATCCTTAATATAATTAGGTAAAGATTTTGGTCCTACAAATATTAGTTCTTCAAAAAAAGGAAAAGTTACAGATAGTGCATATCCATATAATAAAAACTAATTTTAATGCGTATGAACTAAAATACCTTGCTACTGTAGGTTCACTTAGCATCATGTCCAGTTTAATCTAAATCCTGGTGACGTCTGGATTCTGCTGTAAATGTATTTCTGGAAACCCTCAAAAATGTTGTCCCAGCAGAAATTTCTGTAGGATAGATAAAAAAAAAAACAGAAAAAAATTTAATATGACTTGACAAATATAGCTGCAGTAGCTGAAGTCTTTAGTAAACAGAAATCATTGCTAAAATGCTAGGCTAATGCAAACCTATTTTCTCTCTGTTTTGATGTGACTATTTGTTTATTCTTTTTAAAACATAATCAAATGCAAATAGAATTGACAGTCAATATTTTCCTCCTACCTCTTGAACATTCTTTGTGTCCTTTTTTTGCACTATGAGCATCGTTATTAGAAGGAAAATAACTTAATTTTGGACCAATCTTAATACAAATCCTGTGTGCAATGTTACTATGTGGAGTTTGCAAAACAGAAATTAAAACCAGGCTTTTTATACAAATTGAGATAATATCTCGGACAGTACAGCAACATGAGTTATGATGACTTTGATATAGATGGATTTAAAGTGCTTAATTTTCACTTTGATCCCCTATTTGAAATAAAATAAAAACACCCCCAGCTAAACAAGCATTTTACATTAAATTGTGCTATATTTAGTTCTTTGGTATATATTTTACTGACCAAAAAAAATAAAACAGACTTTGTGACAGACTGCCAGTAACTAAGTGCCTAAACATCTGATTTAAAATCAGGTCTAGATTTAAGATGGACTCAAATTTCAAGAGCCTGTTTATGTTACATTGAATTATAGCTCAGTTAAGTAATAATTTTTTTAAAATCCATGAAAGATTTCTGTGACTACTGCCGGTACTGGATAGGAAATGAATGGATAAGCACCCGATGTTATCAGAAAAGATCTCCTGAAAGCCTAAAAAATTAGAAAGCAGTACAAAAATCTATGCCATGGATTTTTTGGCTTTATAAAATAAACCTTAACACTAACATCACTGGTCATCTAATCATAGGTTTCTCGTTTTTAAAACTGTTTATCAGTCCAATCCTGCAAGACATCAGTATTTTCACTGATCATCACAGTTTCCATCACTCAGCAGTAATATAAACCAAATAATAACTTAACTATTATTTTTCTCTCTCTCTTTTTTTGTCTGTTCATCTTGTCCTCCACCTTTTTGCCTCCACATCTTATCTATTCATCATCCTCTTTGCCTCCCTTCTCTCCCAACCTCATCCAAACCAATTTCCTTGGCTTCCTCCTGTGTTGCATGTTTTTTCTAATCCATCAGGAGTCACCCGCACCATGAAGGAAAGAGTAACCAAGCCCACAGCCATGGCCCAAGGTCGTGTTGCTCACATGATTGAATGGCAAAACTGGGGTATGCAGACGGTCGGCGCAGGAGGTATCCCCCAGTCTCGCATGAGCACCCAGGAGCGGGAGAAAGAGAGGAGAGCAGAGAACGACGCTTACAGCGACCTCAGCGACGGAGAAAAAGAGGCTCGATTTGCTGCAGGTGGGGTTCACGCCCCCAGTCAAACACAGCAAGGCTTTTTAGCTGCCATCAGAAGCATTACATGCTCATTAGGCTGGTTTTCTGTCAATTGATGTAGATTTGAACTCTAAACAGATTATGTTCTTTGAACTTTGACCCTAGGCATCCTGCAGCAGTTTGCAATCTCGGAGGCAACACTCTTGGCGTGGTCGTCGATGGATGGTGAGAGCCCTCGGTCGGGTTCAAACCAGGGCAGCGTAGCTCATCTGAGCGAGGTCAACCAGGACAGCATTACAAGTCGGGGTAAAACTCAGCAGATCCAGCAAGAAGCAGCTGCTAGACATTAAGTTTCATATGAAAATGACATAAAAAAAAAGCCATTTTTAGCCTGATCTCTGCAGGGCTGTACTTTTCTCCAGATAAACCCAATGGATACAGGTTTAGATTCCAAGAATGAGGAGGGATTTAATTTAGTAGTAATTTAAATATATTTCATTAAAATTACATATAAGTCTTCAATTTGGGTAAACTGGAGCAGTGTGAAGAGACACTAGAGATCTCAACAACTAAGGTTTGAACACTTTGGCTAATGCTGCGTTCACACCGGACGCAGCTGGCGCGACAGAAGCAGTGAGTTTACATGCAAAGTCAATGGTTGACGCGCGTCAAGGCGCAGCAAAAGGTCCCGCGGCGCGTTTTGAGCAGCAAGCGCAGCGCGTCTGAGCAGCTGAAGCAGCGCGTCGGGCACGTTTAAGCATCTGACGCGCGTGACGCGCCGCAAACGCGTTGCTGCTCGAGATGGAAAAATTTAATTTTTGCTGCTCGACGCGCCGCGTCAACCAATCAGAGAAGCTGATCTGGGAGCTGGCTGGGAGAGAGACACAGCGCTGATGACACAGACCGCTCTGATCAATCCTCTTAAACAGTTTATTAACGCATAATTAACTTAAAATGCATACATCTGCCGGCAGAATATGTTCGCTTTTATTATTCTGGTGCCTGCAGATCGGATTATTTAGATGAAAAACACCTACCAGCCGCCGCGGTGAACCGCCAGGAGGCGACCCGGCCAGAGGCTGCTGTTGAAGGGATTCCTTCTGTCGGCGCACCGCCAGTATGTGGGGGTCTGAGCGGCTCCGACAGAAATAATATTGGGAGGTAGGATTGTAATCTGGATGAACTGACTGCACTGATGAAGTTTTCAGGTGTATTTTCTCACTTAAAAACATATTAAAACTACTTTATTCCCACTGATCACAGCAAATATAGCTGCAAGGCAGAGAAAGGATAGAGTAGCTCCGCCCAACGCGCGTCAGAGCCACTTTTGCACCGCGCAGGCAGAGCAGCAAAGCTGCTTCAGCCGCGTGTCAGAACTAACTGGTACAAGCAGCAAAAAGGAAGCAGCAGACGCGATTTTGCTGCTTTTGCTGCGTCCGGTCTGAACGTAGCATAAGACTGTTTGTGAGAATGGCTGCTTGCTTTTCAGTAAAAGCTGAAGCAATCATTTTTAAACTTGCTTTTTTTTAATTATTTGCTTTTAGCCGGTCTATCTTTCTGTGAAGCTCTCTGTATTATCTCTGTATTTACATCCTTACAATTTCTTTCTTTATATGACTTTCCAAAAAAAGAACAGGGATCTTTGCTTGAAACTACAGACCTCTTCCTGCCTAACTTTGGTCTTAGCTAGATTTCATCATTCAACTAAGTGGATCTTTAGCCAACATGTTTTCTCCCTCTGGCCTCACATTTGAGGTTTAAATTTGAGATTAAAGCCCAGACTTCAATGGACTATTACATTCGCCTGAGATCATTTAGCAGTTTTCTTTTAAGTCAGACAAAAGTAGTAAAACATGCAGAACATGATTTTTTTTTGCCGTTTCTACTCCTCAGGTTTAACAATTCCTCTCCTGAGAGAATGAGAGAAAAGAATGCTTTAAATCAAAGCTTTGGGAAAATTTTGCGGCTTGACTGGATTGATGGCTGTTTCAGTACAAACTGGGGGAGTTTTGTCATAACACTTCAATTCAGTAGACAAGGAGACTCGTAAGCCTTTATCCAAACAACCAGTTAATTAATTCTCCATAACTTGCCACTCAGGGATATTTGTCTGAACTAGAAATGTGCAGCATGACATAAAGACATCCCTCTGTCAATGGTGTGGTTTTTCACTTTTTCTTTGAGCTCCAATAACAGTTGTAATTTTTTTTTTTATCTCTTCAGATCAGATGTTACATCAGTCCTCAGCAGAAGTGTGGCCTCACACATACGTTTCCCAGGGCCACTACTGCCTCTCGTCGTCCCACGCCTGGGAGCCGACAAGCACAGACCCCTCCGGTGTGGTGTCTCCCCAAACTGGCTCCTACATCATGGGAACGGAGGGCTATGATGGGCAGGCGGCGGCTCATTTCCTGTCCCAGCAGCAGCAGCAGCAGCAGTACAACCTCCAGCAGCAGAGCCACCTCCAGCAGCTGCAGCAGTTTCAACACATCCAGCAGTACCAGCAACAGCAGCTCCTGCAGTATCAGCAACAACAGGTGATTGATGCGGAGCAGGTGGACTCTCAGTGGTGAGCAGGAGTCACTGCCAGGAGAAACATTAACCGGGGAGAGGCTATATGTGGCTCGTCTTCAGTCCAAGTCTGCTATGACGCATATAAAAACAGCATCAGGTCCTGAATTGAGACGTGGTGAAAATATTTAGCAGTTTTTTTGAGATTAGATCACCCTTTTGTTGAAAATGTTCTAGATTCTAAATAAATTTATTGTGTAACAGTTTGATAATCATGGCCGCTGACTGCACTGCAGGTGTTCAAGCCACTAAAATGGGGGACCTCTTTAAGGAGGAGTTTTCTTTTAACAAATTGAGTGCATAGTATCCACATCTATGAATGAATGAATGAAATTTATTTCATATAATTAACAAATAATATAAAATAATAATAGATAAATCAATTTCAGAAAATATTTGAAACAAACCTTGTGCCACACAAAGAAGTGAGTGGTTACAGGCTAACATGAAAATAAATTACATTTTTGGTTCCAAAAAAAGTTTATTAATTTGAACACAGACAAAAGCTACCGTAATAAAATAAAATGTTCCACCTAATAAACTCAGATCTGACATTGATTATTGATTTATCTATGTACATTTTTTTATTCATATAAATTGTCTGAAAAAAAGGGTATGAAGAAGTAAAACTTATTTTTCATACCCCTTCTGCCTCTAATTGCATTTGAAGTAACCTAAGTAACCTTACTGTTCAACCTCTGTGTTTTTGATCCAAAAGTCTATTGAACTTTAGCTCATTTTTCCTCTTATATCCATAAACTGTAACATATCCTGTTTGGAATTTATTGTGATTGACAAGAAGAAAATGGTTCCACATAATTGTGCAATGAAAGAAAAATAATGGTTTTCAAATGTTTCAGAAATAATCCTCTGAAAAATGAATTAATGTTTGGCCTTCTTGAGTTAAAACTGTACAGCCATCTTTCACTGTAATTCTTTACATATGCTTATCATGGTTGCACTTCTAGAGACTAAGGTTTACTTCTTTCCAAAGTTTTTTGTAAAATAGCTCAGAGTCAGGCAGATTGAATGAGGGGTGTCTGCAGGCAAGTCTTCAAAGACTCTCCTTTGCTTATTTGTCTGATGGTAAAACTCTAACATATGAAAATGCTATGATCTAAATTATTCCATTGTAGATCTGGTTATGGGTAAAACATGTCTTACTAGAGAGTCAATCTGCATCCCAGATTTAAGATTGCTGTAGATATCCCATATGGCTGTACTGTATTAAGCACCATTTATCTCTTTCAGCTATGATCAACTCTGATGTCTCTGCAGAAGAAAAACATCAGCAGAGCATAATGCTGCCATTACAGTGTTTCAGTGTATGGAGGGCACATTTAGGATGATGGGCAATGTTAGCTTTTAGTGTCCTCTGAAAAGAGCATCCTTTTCCATTAGGTCCTTGTGTTTTCATCTGTGGCCTTTAGAAAACTTCAAACAGGGCTTTGTCTCATATCCGTATTTTTCTTCTATTTAAATAGTTATCAACAAATTTTTCAACCTCAACTGTGGATCTCTGCAGCTCTGCAGCTCTGCTCCTCCTCTCTTAATAATTTCTTTATTGTTTGAACAGTCTGTTTGGTTGCACAGTTATGTCTCTGTAAGCTAACCCTTATGCCCTTCATTTCTCTCACTTAGATGAAGAGTGGAACTCTCAATGACATGTTTAAAGCCTCAGATATGATTTTATAACCTAGACCTACTTTAAACTTCTCCAAAACTCTGACTTCTGTGCTGTATTTGTTGAAGTTAACTTGTTTGTACACTTATATTCTCTATCAAACCTCTTAGGTCTTCATGGAAAAGCTGGACTTACCCTAGGAGTTAAAAAACCCAGGCAAATGTTTACACATGTAACGAGAATATCAAAGTAAACACAAATGCAGCTCTACCTTTCAGTTCTAGCTAAAAAAGCTTTAGGATGCTATGCATCATTTTCCTTCCATTGGTCTCTCACATAGGAATTTTTAAATATAAATCGGAGTTTAAAGGTTTTTTTTGTGACATATAGTGGATGACCTAAAGGTGTAGGAATACATTTCCAAGATATTGTAAGATAAAAAAGTAATAATTTCAGTTATCAATTCTTAAATGACTATATTAACTTAGATGACTACTAAATCTACAAATGTGCATTTAATCTACTTTCCTTTACCTCTCCCACGTTTTATCACCTGATCATTTTTGCATTGTGCTTCCAGGCTCTGGACCACAGGCTGCACAGTGCCAACCAATCTCTGCAGGCGACACCCAACAGCACTATTCACAGTTTGGTTCACCATGTTCACCCCCCTCTGGTTGATCTGTGGAACACGGGGCAGATGGAGGCCTATCAGACAGAAGCCGGAGGCTACATGGGAGTAGCGGCGGTGGTTGAGAGTGGCCTGTGTGTACCGGCAGGAGAGGAGGCGGTGGGAACCGACCACTCCCCGCTACTGGAACAGCAGGAGGAGGAGCAGGTCAAGGTGAGGATAAAATGTGGTTTTATTAAACAAGATTATCACTGCAGGAAATCAAAGTTTGACTTTGCTTCTTTCTTAAGCTGGATCTTAAGCTAAGTGAGATAAAAACAGATTATTTATTTAATTAATGCACTTAAGTTAATAAGTTAATTCCAAAATATTCAGGACTGGCAAATGAAATATTTGCTCATAGTCAAGGTAAAATACTATCCAATGGAATGTTTAAATAGATCATAGCATGTTCATTCAGCTTCTTCCCTAAAGGTCTTTGAAATTCTTTCTATACATTTTACAATAATAAATCCTATTGAATTTGCTCTATTCAGCCTTCTTGAGTAGAGACCCCTTGACCATTAAAAAAACCCCCTCCAAAATGGTCCGCTTTCTTCTTGATTAATTAACTAGTTTGAATTTTTCTCTTGATATTTAAATTTTTAATATCCTTAGTTTCTGCTGTTCCTGCAGAATAATTTAAAAAAAGGCTGTTTAATTCAGATGTAATTACAGAAAGTTTTTGAGAATCAAAATCTGTAAAGATGATCTGCATAATAAACAGATTGCAAATCGTTGCAGTAAATTTTTGTGCATATAGTGCTGCTCAATTTTGCAAGTCTAGGAAAAGCTGAATAAAACTCCGCTGAATAAATTTAAGTATTTACTGTATGGCAAACTGAGACTGAAAATCAAAGAAATGAAAATGTAAACAAATTCAATCACATAATATTCCCTCAACAGTCTAACAACTAGCAGACTTAACTTGAATTAGAGAACATTAGTTAAAAAAACTGCATCATGAAGACCTAGAAATACGGCAGGCTGATCAGGAGACAAGATGATGATTTCAAAGCAGGGTTTGCTTAATAAAAATCACCAAGCACCATTCAATTCAGTGTCTGTCCAGCTGAGTTTACAACAACGACAAGAAGAGTATTTATTGGAGAAGCATGCAAGGCAAAGAGATCCAAGAGCCATTATAGGAAAAGAATCATTAAGTCATGTTTTAAGTTTGGTGCAAACCATGAAGTAGACACAATAGACATGCGGAAGAAAGTGTTTTGATCAGATGTGGTCAAAATCTTTTTGATTCAGACACTAAAAGCTTTGAGCCTGAACACATCATCTCCATGGTGAAACCCCCAAGGGGACTAAATGTTGATGTTTTCAAACACTCATCTGCCATTCTGTCTGAGATTTAACTGATTTTTGGAGAAAATACACAGAAATTGCCATCTCTAAATGCTTAAAAACAGGCGGAGACAAACCCTGAAACACTTTCTTTGATAAACACTAAATTTGTTTTTTAATGTATTTACTCAGGAAGCTAAACAGTCATGCATACCACAACTTTTAGACTTTTGTTTGCAAAAAAGCATTACTTTTCATTTCTCTTCAAAAAAATCTGCCCTACTTTGTTTCATTACTTCAAAAAAAAAACATAAGATCTTCTGCAAAGTTAAACATCAATTGATTACATGACGAAAGTACATTTAAACTGCAAATGCACCAGGTATTCTGACATCCTTTATGTGCATATATATATATATATATATATAATCTCCCTCCTTTACTCCTGTCCTGCTCAGGAAGAAGATATAACGCTGGCGCTGGAACAGGAGTCAGCCATGTTGACTCCACCCACACAACAAGGAGATGCCTCTGGAGGCAGCAGTCCGGGGCAACCGCCTGCAGAGCCAATCACAGAGCGGAAGGCCTCCGATATCACCTCGGGTCTCATTCAGACGCTGGAGGAAAAGGAAGAGGAAGAGGAGGAAGGGGAGGATGGGCCACCTGTCTCCACAGCCACCAACTGAGCTCCATATCATCTAAGACTCCTGAATACAAACTAACCTGGGAGTCGGCAAGGGACGAGCAACAATATATATCTATTAATCCGTCAAACCAGGTGTATGCGCGGTGCACTGTCAAACCAAAAAAATTTTTTTGGTTTGACAGTGAATTCCTTAAAATGACTCACAATGAGACATGAGATCATGCTGCAAAGGACTTCTCTGTCTTTTGTAATTCCAAAGGTTTAAAAAGTAAAGTGAAAACAGAGCAGAGGAGGAGAGAAACCAGAGACTGTGATGAAGTGGAAGATAATGGATTCATGCATGCTTTTACTTTGAAGACCAACAACCCAACCCTGTCTTTGTCTTATAATAAAAAATAAAAATCTCACATAAATCAGCATAATAAGCAGAACAATTTTTGTAATAAGAAAAAAAAGAACAATAAGAGATATATAAGTGCGTGACAAGATCTTGGAGGTCTCCTGAGGGAGACCTGCTCTGTTTACAGCTGTTACTTAAAACGTTCATCTTCTTCTTGGATCAAACATGTGCGCCCTTATGTTACCAAAAGGAGCCCAAGCGATTCCCAGATGCTTTAAGAAGTCTCAGCATTTCAGTGAAATGCAGTTTGACTCTTCCCAAATAAATTCTACTGCAATGTTATGGCACAACCCAGGGGCGAGCTGGACCCGCTGACTGCACACACCCGACCCTGCACAGAAGAGGATTGTACTGTAAGATAGCGTGCTTCCTACTCTGTCTCTCTGTATGCATGTCCTTCAGAGTATCACAGAGTACCTGTAACTATACAGCACTGTAAGAGACTTTGCACTGAACTGTTGCAATCCCAGGTGGGAGCTCCCTGATGGAGACGGCTGCATATACGGCTTTAGTTGGGTTTTTTGTTGGTGTGTTGTTTTGTTTTTGCACTAAAGCAATCCAGCAGATCAGAGTTTGCCTTAGAACTGCTGGCGTTAATGCAGTTCCTGCTGTGACAACCAAAACCACCCGGGTCGCTTCATGACACAGGAACGCTCAGCTGCTTGTTTATTTTCACATAGATCCTGACACACTGCGGATGTTGACCACTATTCTGAATGTACTGGACGACGCGGGCTGGTGCACGAGCACTGATGGGTCACTTAGACCCACATCGTACACATGGACATGGAAATATCTAAATTGTAACCAGCAATAGGCAGAGGAAACACTGGCCTTCAAAAACACAGAAAAACACTGAAACAAACAGAACAGTCCAGCTCTGCCATTACGATGTAAATATAGTGTGTAGAAACTGCCTCTCAGTCACTGTCACGGCTGTTCTTTTAAAGTATGATTTTTTTTTTATTTTTCTATGCCTCTTTGGGTCTTATTTGTTTTGTTTGTTTTGTTAACTGCTGCACAGTTAAATAAGAAAAGGACAGAGCAATCAATCAAACTAAAACCTAGTAGCTGGTTGAGCTCATTCAGGTAACAGGACTGAAGACTGGAGGCGAAACAAGACTGATGTCTTCCTGCTCATCTTTGCTGCTGTAAAGCAGTTCCCTCAAGGCGTGGTGGTGATGTGTGAGGAGTATTTATTTATTTTTTTTTCATTGATTTAAATTTTTGCAATGAAGGAAGAGGAAGCATGTTTCGCAGCAGCAGAGGAAGTTAAACAACTGCGCATGTCTGCTCGGTGCTCGCACCTTTATACCATCTGGGAAACACCTTCTCTCACTTTGAGGATTGTGAGAGATTTTGAAGACAAAACCTGCAGTTTATTGACTTGAATGGATTTATTTATTGAGTGCTTCTTTATGCAATGTTTGGGGGACAATATTTATTTTTCTACTGCCTTGTTGAGATCCCTTCCAGTATCAGTTAGGATAGGTGTCAGGGCTGTAAACTGGCTTGTTTTGTTCTGGTTTTGACCTCCATTCTGCACAGAGATAAGAGACTGATAATATGGCAGCTCTTAATATGAAATAATGAAATCTGCCTTGCAAAAGTGTTCATGTCCCTTAAACTTTTGTTAACTTTGTGTCACATTACAACCAAAAAAACTTGAACTAAATTTAAGTGGGAATCCTAAGCTTTGAACATCAAAGCTTAGATGAACACCTTTAAACACATATTCTAAAAATGGTCAAATATGCAGACCTGGAGAGAATCAGATGAGAAACTCATTGGTAGCTCTTGAGGAGCTGTAGAGATCCACAGCTCAGGGTGAGAATGCATCAACAGGATAAATGATAAATTGTCATGCAGTACATAAATCTGGCTTTTATGGAAAGGTGGATAGAGAAGAATAAATGTTTATGAATATATGTGGTGGACTTAGTGAACATGGACAAAGGTGTCCCTGTCAGATGAGGCAAAAAACTAAACTTTGTGTCTTGGAAGTAAAAAGTGTGCGGAAGAAAACTAAAATTGTCTATATTACCTTAAAAACCTCCTTCCCAGCCTGACACACGGTGGTGGCAGCGTCATGTTGTTGGAGCTATATATAGAACAATGATAGAGATAAACCTGTTAGCGGTTGGGAAGATTTGAGATACGGCAGAGTTCTAGTTCTAGCAAGATAGAGGACTTCCTGCATGTACGTTTAATACATCCAGAACGAAAGCATAATGGTTCATATGAAGGCAAGTCTTTATAGAATGGCCTAGTCAAAGTCCAAACTGGAGAATATATGAAAAAGACTTGAAAACATAGCCTTTACTGACTTTTTTTTTATTTGTTAAAACAATGTTTACAGTAATTACTCTGATGGCGTGACTGGTAAAAAATCTGCCTATGTTAAGGTAACGTTTGTTTCTTCTGCTTCACAACAAAGCAAAACTTTGCATTGGTCTATTCCATAAAATCCAAATAAAATACAGTGACATTAGCAGTGACTACTTTTGCAAGGCATTATAGTCAGAAATGTATTCTGGGAAGATGTGACCACATCTTCTGAGAGCTCAAACCAACAACAAACAGAAGTCTTTACACCATGGCACATATTAATTTATTTATTGAATGATAACTTGGCAGGGAGAAACACCATGATGATGTACAGAGGCTATTATTTCACGTAGATTTTGACTCACCTAGGAGCAGTGTCTTTTTTTTCTTAAGGTTTAAGATAAAATGCAGTTAAAGATTGAGGCTTTTGTTAAGTATTAAAGCCTCACAGCTTTTTGGGGCTTTACTGTTTACTTTAAAAAAAGGCATTTCAGAATCAAAGCTGCAGAAAAGACACTGCTTCTCTTTGAGTTTTGTTGCTTTTTTCTTCTTTATTTTTTAAGAAAATCTGTTTATCTTGATGAATGAATAAAGAAATAACATGAAACCAAATATATTTCTCTGGATGTTAAAGGTTTACTGATCATATCTTTGGAAACCTAACTTGATTTCATCCAGTTTTTTTTTTTTTTCTGGGTGTAATTCCACTGCCGTCTTTGAAGAGTTACAGTAACTTCTCTGAAGGCAGCATTGTCAAATAGGAGTCATCTGCCTCCTATTCTCTGTCTTTCTCCTTCTCTGCCTCTCTATCTGTTCTGTATACTTGTATTCGTGTGTACGTCTGTATGTGTACAGTAAAAAAAAAAAAAAAGTCATACGTCTTTCTGAAAAAGTCACTGCCTGGAAATATAAACTCTTCACACCAAACAAAGAGGGTTTGAAAGCATCTGATACATCAAATTTGGAGTTGTGTCGCATAAACGGCTGTATAAAAAAAGCTGTAAGAAAATCAGATGACTTCTATAAACATCTGCATTTGTTTTACACAAGGCAGTGTGACTGATTACACAGCTATGCATGCTTATTGAAAGGTTCCCACTGCTTAGTTCTTCCATGTGGTTTCCTCTCCCTCTGCTGTCCACAGCTATCTCTCTCTTTCCCCTCCTTTTCCCTGCACGTCACAGCCTCCTTCAACTTCTCTGGCGCTTCTACCAGCCTCCTTTCATATTTTTTTTTTAACATTTTTTTTTGGTGGAGAAAGAGCAAATAAACAGATGAAACAAATTGCCTTTTTGTGGATACGTGTGTGTCTCCTCTCACGGCTGTAAATAATTACAATCTCAGGGGTTTCCTCTATTTTCCTCTTGAGCCTTAACACATTTTCAGTTGTTTATCTGTTTCTGTCTTTGCTCGACTTATTTGTGACTGACAGACACAGGAGAAAAGAAGTCAACAAGGAATTGGCAGCAGTGTAATCTGTGCTTTTCAAAAAGCCCTCCTCTTCCATCCTTATCAGGAACTGTGTGTCAGGAGAATATAAACAACAAATGCCCTCCGTTGGGATAAATGGCTTATTTTTTTAAGCTCACAGAGGACTCAGTGCCTGAAACACATTGTTGACCTTCACAACACAAAAGTGTTTGTATACTCAAAGGCTGAAAGTAATGTGATAGTATTCACTTACCTCACTGGCTGCTGGGGTTATAGGAGGCTCACCACAGTAGTTGACAAGTTTACATAAAGTGACAAAGCAAACTAAAATGCAACCAACCTCTGATTCTGATTTAGTTTCACTCTGACAAATATTGTATGTCTTTTTTGGTTTTGTTTTGAAATGAAGCAGCAGCGTCTCAGTTGATGTTAATTTTCTAAAGCTTAAGAAACTCATGATGGAGACAAAATCATTTGAGTTCATTAAAATCAATGCATTAATAATCAACAATAATAGTGCGATGCCATTTTTGTAACATTGAGCTCGTATCTCAAGTAACACATTGAGGTGATAATATAGCATTTCATGGAAACCAATCAGATGGCTAAATCACCCTTTCAAAGAGGGGGTTGAAGCCTACTCCACAGCTGTAAGCATCTAATCCACCTTGGGAGGGAGTCCCTGGCCTGTCACTAGAATGACTTGTAACAGTAAAACGTGACACAGCTCAGCCTGAAGGGAAGGGAAAATACTCAAAGCATTTTCTTATTGCTCTGGTGAATAATGAGTTCATAATTAAAAGAGGATTTCTTTAGAAAATGCATCACGTCAAATAGAAGCACTTCAGACACTACATCTGAACTTTTTCCACCACCAGATGCTTCATTAGCCTACATATACACACATCAGAACAGGCAGGGTTTCCTTTTTTATTTTTGAGATTGGAAATTCATACTTC